TAGTTCTGCAGAGCTTTTGGTTTGGGGCATAACCTTCCCTTCATATCAACAACTCAGAAATTCAGATTTTTCTAGCACTTGAAGTCTGCATCAACCACATAAGATGTCATTTTATTATGATTGCTTTAGACAACATATTGGTCGCAATGTATAGCAGATGTTGTGTTCCTTCATTTTGCTTTAAGTCTGAAACCTCCATTGGATAGTCTTAGAGAATCACTCTCAGAGACTGCCACATTATGGGCAAGATAAATATTCTGGCAGACAGCCTGTCCAGGCAGGGTTTGATGGTGCTCATGAAATGGTCTCTAAACCAGTCAGTAGATGAGATACTTTTTCTACTGTGTGGGGAAGTGTTTCTTGCAAAGCTGAACAAGTTCTTACATTCTATCTTGCCAGTTACAGACAAGAGGGCATTGGTGGTATACCCTTTACCTCACCCCAGAAGTTGGTCTATGCCTTCCTACACTTCAGAATAATCCCTCAGGTTATGAATTTAAACCTCCTGATAACTCCACTTGTATTTCCAATGGTCATGGTTCAATTATCTCATCAACCCGTTGGTAATCAAGCCCAAGTAATTACCACTATAGGACCTGTTATCCCAGCACATAAGATCTCTCCTTCACAGCAATCATTGGATTATCCACCTGGATCATATCAAGCAATCTATATGCCAGGATAAGTTTTTGAGCAATGTTACCAACTGCACATGCTAGAATGCTGTTGACTGCCAAGATTTATGTTTCCAAATGATGAATCTTCTGTAAGAGGTGCAATAGGAAACCTGTTGAACCTATCTGTCCCCATTAACTTTAGTTGCAGATTTTCATTTTATTTTTGATAAGAAGACTGTTCAGAATTCACATTAAGGGCTTTAGGGCAACCCTCTCCAATATTCTTATGTTCTTTATTGGGTCCAGTTTTGTTGGACCCTCATTTTCAGAACTAATCAGATACTTTAGAGACCAGTTTTGTGCTCATTTAGGTCTTGGTGAAACCTTTGCTATGTTGTTTGGTTGGTATCAAAACCACTTTTCTTCAGGAATTTTACCCATAACAGATCTTTCCTTCCATGCCTAATGTTAACAAGGAGAAGGAGTGAAAATAATGCATTATCAGATGGCTAAGTTACATTAGTACATGACTATAGATTTTTCATTTTAGAACTTTGTTAAGATATTGATATAGAATTACTGACTTTGTATACACATAAAAATATACCATTGATTGGTATCCCAACACTTACAGACACAAAAATGTGAAGACAAAATTGGCAATAAATCTGTACATCACATTGTAATAACTAGCTTTTGTTAAAATACTGTGTCAATAAAATGTTATTATTAACTACTATGTTTGTTTTAATATTATTTATCTAGCATATGCACAATTTCTCATTTTTCTAAATGTGAAATTAATTGAAGGTAAATAAAGACTTCATAATTCACGGGATACTTAAACTTTCCAGTGAGACCTGTATTTTAGTATACTGTACTTACACACTTTATCATCTTGCTTTGCATCTCTTATAACCTTGTCTATATGTAACAATAACTCACAAAGATTTTGCTTTATTCTTTATTTTTTACCAAATCTCATTATTCAAACCACATTTTAACCATATATCACGACTCTGGTGTCCAAGTGGTTAGAGTGACATCTTGAATGTGGGAGTTCGTGGGTGTGAACCAAGTCATATCAAAGACTTATAAAATTGGTACAAAAAGCTGCATCACTAGGTGTTCAGCATTAAGAAGTTAGTGTTAGGAATGGTCAGCTTGGTATCAGGATTACATGACTGGATGGAACATGATGCTATATGTCTGCAGCATGATCCTTCAGTGCTAGACATCACTATCAACTACCACACTGCAGACATTATAGCGATAGACTGGAAATTTTTTAAAGCTACATTAAAAATCTAAATCACACACATTAGCCATACATTAATTGTTGTTTTATTTACTTTGTTTCACACATGCTCAAAATTTACTATTTTTCAGTGATATAATCAATCCTATAAAAGTAAGACCTCATGTTTACTGAATATTTATAAATGCATATATATTAAGAAAACCACCAAAAAAACCCTCATATATGCATTAAAGAATGACAATAATATATGTTAAAATTTGTAATATAGACTGCCTAGATCCATTATGTGTTCCCATTCCATTTTAGATTTTAGCATGCTGGTTGTTGGGCAACTCATTTTGATTATAATTGTTGGATTTTTTTTTTGTTGGTGTTTTTATGGCACAAATGCAGGCCAGTTAATTGTTTAAACATGGAAACTGACTTGGATAAATAGGGAATTATGTCTGATGGTAATCCTGGTACCCATTTGTTATAGAACATTAATTCTTTTATGTCATTTTGGTATGTAATGATCTGTTACTGTAGCAGAGTAAACATTTACTTATTTAAAGGTAGCTTCATCACAGTAAACTGCCACTGCATTATTATTGCAATGATTTTCAAAACATTTCTGAAACTTTATTGTATTCTTTAGACATTATTGTACTTTCGTGCAGTGTTATTAACGTTTCAGAATGAAGATATGTATTTCATTCAGCACAAGTTAAAATGTATGTACTTATGGTGATGCCATGATATAAGTAAGACCATAATAAACACGAGATTATTCAAACATTATCTTCTTTTTTTAATACTTGTATGATATTTTAATGAGTTGTTTATTTACATTTTCAAGTTAGAAAATGTAATTTCTGGTGACGTTTAACAGTGTTTTGTACAGAAATGTATAAAATGCAAATAGAGCAAAAATGTAAAAAGTTATTGTTGATACAGTTACAACATTGTGCCAGTGCTCAATGCTTGTTATTGCCCAATGAAATTATACAGATTCGAAATGGGTAAAAATAATAAATATGTATTTTTTTTCTTCAAACATATTAAAATATAAAATTTCCATTTAATCATTTATGATAATTTCTTAACACCAGTCTTTTTTCCTTCAAATCATGTTATGATCAATAAATTAAACATAGCGATCTCAAGCCAAAACAAAGAAAACATAATTTATTTCTAAGGCTTCCTAAGACTCGTAATACATGGAAAACTTATAATGTTGTGTCACAACTTTTATATGTCATTAAAAAAATATTTTTTTAAATAATTAAAGGTGTTGCAAGACTTACCATCATTGTGGTAATGTAATATAAAATTGATTTTTTTTAATTCTTTATCTCAATTATAAAGGTTAGAAAGTAAAGCATGTGTTACTTTTAGTCTATCACAAGCTTTTGTGTGGTCAAACTTGTGTTCATAGGTCACCTTTTGGGCATGTTCAAAGTATCATTTAATTCTGGTGAATATTTAACAGAGGGTTATTTCACCTACAGTTGTGTTTGAACAATTGTGGATGGTGGTTGTGTAAGACAAGTGAATGCTGAACATAGATGATGCCTAAGACTCAAGTTTCTCTGTTTGTCCATGCCAGTCATTTCAAATGCCATATTATTCGACCAAACTAACTGCATGCATCTCATGTCATAGTTATTGAAAACATTTGTTGCGATAAAGCAGCATGATTTGTTTTCTTCAGAACTTGTTCAGTGTTTAAGATCAATGTAATATTATGGAAACTTTAATTTTCATTAATTTATAAATGAAGAATACCCTTGGGTTTTATTGCAATAAAAGCTGAAAGTTTTCAGAGTTAAGTTTTCCTTTAATCTAATATTGTTTGACCAATCCCAATTCAGGAACTAATTAGTACATCATCATGAAGAGATCTATGTTATGGTGACATCACTATCTCAGTATGTTTGTAAATATTAAAAGTTTTAAAGCCAACCATATTCCAAACCATATCTGTGTTCACATTGTTATAATATTGTCATATATACTACTCAGACTTGGCCACAAATCATAATTAAAATAAGGCAGTTATCTTTATAATCATTAGTATAAAATTGTAAGTAAGAGAGTTCTCCCCCTTTTCAATACCCTCCCCTACAAACAGACTCCCTTGGTGCAGATTAGTTTGTGTTAGAATGTAACCCTCTAATGCATCAGACATTCTTAATTTGGAAAAATGAAAGCAATTTGACTAATTGAATAGAGTTATTTGATCACTGCTTAGAGATTTTCCTTGATCACTACTGAGAGATTTGACATCAGATTAAAATAAATATTATCATTTATATTTTCTGCAGCAATGAGAAAATGGAATGGCTTAATAATGATAGTTAAAGCCAGTTGATTGTACCATGATTTTATTGACAGGTTTTGTAACACAAATGGTTTTGTAACACAAATGGTTTTGTAACACAAATGGTTTTGTAACACAACGGATGATTATTCATAATTTTAAATAACATTAATACATATTTTATCTTATTGATTCATAATGTGTGTGGTTTTCAGTTTACATTTTTAAATATTTAAAAATTATTAAGCCATACTTTATAATTATGAAATTATTACATCAGTGTGATCAGTCTCAAAAAAAGCCACCTTGTAGTCAAATGCCATTTTCCTGCCATATAAAGATGACTTTTTAGAATTGGACCACTGTAGCTGTGACCATACAAATGAGAATAAAACTGACTGAAATTGATTCCCAAAATTACAGAAAGACTCCCTCTATTTGTTAGCGAGCATCCATGGTCCCAGGAAGCTTCCATGCAAAAATTAGTTGTTTAATATACCCAAAGAGCTAGTCTGAATGATATCAAAATGAATCTAATTAATACTGTAAAGTGTATATACCCACTTTTTGTGAATAAAAGAGCTATAAAGTTATTTACTAACCAAAGCAGATGTTGGTGAAACCTGTATAAATGTGTAATTTCAATAAATCAAGTTTTCTGCTATTTTCATGCTTCCATTTTTGATGAGAATTTTTTTCAAAATTCCAATAAGAAGTCAGAGTATGTTATGCTTTGATATCATCACTCAATTTAATTTCTGCACAGCAACTCAAGGTCTATACCATCTACAGTTATTAAACTTTATGGATGTCTTGAACTGATCTGGAGGTCTAGTGGTTAGAGCACCCACCTCGGATGCTGGAGGTCGCAGGTTTGATCCCTGGCCGAATCATACCTGAGACTTATAAAATTAGTACTAACTGATGCCTCATATGGCACTCAGCATTAAGAGGTTAGTGTTAGGACTGGTTGGCCTGGTGTAAGGATAATGTGGCTGGGTGGGACATAAAGTTACATGTCTCTGGCATGATGCCCCAGTGCTAGGCATCACTATAAACTGTCACTGCAGATGTTGTAGCGATATGACTGAAATATTGTTAGAGCTACATTAAAAATCCAAATCACACACACGCACACACACACATGGATGTATTATGTTTCAGGTAGAGAGAAGACTATCTGAAGGTCAAAGGTCAAAGTAATGTAACAGAGAAGAACAATGGTTTCAACACAATGAGTTCTCTATCATGTTTGTAGATAGCTTCTGTAAGGTTAACCTGTATCAATTTGGGGATTCAAGATCAGTATTATGGCGACTAAAAGAATAAAAATGGTTTATGCATAAAACATTAATTCTGCATCACATACCTTGACTAAACATTGTATAAGGCTTACACTTGGAGTATGAAGTTTCCTATCCATTTAGAGTTCAAAGGTCAAAGGTTTGAAATAAAAAACATGGTTTCTGCACAATAGCTCAATTTTTCCACTTTCAACAGTTACCAAACTTTGTGGATGGCTTAAACTTAAGTCAAGGATGTAGTCTATCAATGTTGGGTTCCAGAGGTCAAGGTTACAGTGCCTGACTGAAGAATATTGTTGTAAAACAATAATATCAGATTTCCAATGTGTACTGTTATCAGACTTTGTGGATGGCTTGCACTTAGGGTAAAGAAAAATCCTAGAGATTTGGTGCTCAAAATGTCAAAAGCCAAAGTCACTGTGACTGAAGGGAAAAAAAATGGTTTTTGCACAATAACATTGGTTTTAAACTACAGATCTTGACCAAACTTTTCAGGGAGATACCTGTTGGCTTGGGGTTCAAAAAAACGGTCTGAGGTAAAAGATTACTGTCGATGAAAGAACAAAGTGGTCTGTGCACAAAACTTTCCATTATCAACATGGAGAACAATCAATAATGTTAGTGTAAATAATATTCTATTTGCTGTATTAATTTTCTTGACCTTTTGATGTTAATAAAAAAAACAACTATTAAGAGGTTAAAAATAATTAATGAAAGTGCTCCTTTTTTTAAAAAATGCTGAAATATTGCTATGTTATATTTTACTGTTGTTTGTAGTTATTGCCTTTGTACATTTGTATAGCTCAATTTTTTTAAGAATATTTATGGGGAATAACAATTTTGGCAAGAATATTTTTGAACATGAAAAAGACAGGGATGGGGATGTAGAGGCATGAAAATGATGTTTTTAAGCAGATTCATGGTTTAATTTTTCATGTATAGCTATTATGTTTAAAATTCATATATTGATAAATTATTTTCTTACAAAGCAAGATAATTTTCTTGGAATTTTGACCTGTTTCCAGTTATATGTACTAAGGTTTTACTCCATTTTAGACCACATTTATTTAAATTCTTTATTTTTTTATCAAATTTGCCACAAAGATTATTGCATACAGTTTATCTGTGTTGATGAGACTCAAGATGCAGATCAGTACAGTTTATCTTTGCAATTTTCTTTAAAACAATGTCACAGTTTGCATATAAAGTGAAAAAAAAATTTCTAAGACCTAAAATTCTTGTGAAATAATATAAAAGCGGTCAAAGAAAAAGATAGGAATTAACACTTTGATGTGGACCACTTCAAAAGATGAAGAAAATCATTTGAATAAGGCAATTGGATAATAGTCTTTCTCAAGGAGTATTTATAATTGTTAAAGAAACACACTTTAATTAAATGCTCAGAAATTTCAGTCCTTAAAACCAGATTTCCATATGTCCAAAACCAAATCATTCAGTTATTCACACAGCAAACAACGCTGTCAATGAACAAAACACAAATAAAACTTTCAAATCCAGTTAGATATATGTTATTCCTGCAACTACATGACTACCACTATCATTATGTCAGTACCAGCAGTGGTGTACCATGGGGAGGGGACAGTTGGCCTGGGCACAATAATGAGGAAATTGTATTCTTTACTTCAGATGTGCTCAAAAGGGGTGTCCAGTTTAAGTTTTGTCCTGGGGCACTAAGTACCCTAGCTTCACCACTGAGTACCAGCTTTACCACAATCACCATTATCCCTACTACAAGTATTAGCATAATTGCCGCATCTATTTACCACCTCTGCTGCTACAAAAATCTCTGCCTCTGCTATTACTATCACAACAATCACCACTACTACCACATCCAACACCATTGCTATTCAGTACCGTATAACAATTATTGTGCTCATTTACAATTAATTATACATGAAAATAACACCATCATCATCACTACTACTACAACACTACTACCACCACTGCTACTATTACAGTGAAACTCCACTAAAACATGGTCAGTGTCCAAAATGTGCCATCATGCTATGTATCATGCAGTATCCAGCCAAGTGACCAGAGAAAATATTGTATATGATTCTCTTATTGATGCATGACCGGTAGTGGGTGTGTGGGTTAGTTGGGTACAAAAATGTGGACTTCATTTATGTAATTACCAACTTGATGCATATTACATGCAAATGAAGAATCCTTAAAAAAGTTGTTACATATTTTATTTGACAGGAGGGCAGAGAACCATACATAAATATATATAAAAATTTGTGAACTGTAGTGTAAATAGGGGATGTGTACTCACCAGCTAATCTCATATTATCCATTATAACAGTAATTCCTTCATAAGTATGCATAGATAATATTTTTAGAATTTTTCTGCTCCATTCATTTGAATTCAAATACATAATTTCTTGTCAATTCACTCGCAACAACATTACATTCTATTTTCCAAAACATTTATATTTGCTGGAAATGTTGAAGGATGCTTTTTACTGATTACAAAATTCATAAATCAGTCATACAGAGTTTTTAAAAGAATGTTATATTTAAGCTTGAAAAATATTTGAACTGAAATTCATATAGGAGTCAAGGGTAATGTGCTTGAGATAAACATTTAATCAGATGTGTAGAAAAGAGCCTTTTAATTATAGGTAAAAAGCGATTTCCATAATAACAGTTAAGTAATTTTCATAAACAACAAAGGAAACGAACATTAAAATCACCCCAATATTAATTAAAAATTGTATTTGTAATTTTGACATTGCACTATCAAAGAGCACAAACAGGCAATTTGTATGTTTCTTTATAATAGCATATCTCTCCATCCCTTAAACATAATGGTTTTGTTCCAGAGATTGATAACAATACAGCTATACATATACATGTAATTTTAACATTATTATGACAGTTGGATTGTATATATAGGATTGATCTGGAGCTGATATCTGTATTTCTTACTAAAATCAATTAAAGGGGGGGGGATTTTTCAATGACCAGAAATGTTTCTAACAATATGGGCAATAAACTTGTTTCAAAAGATGCCCAAGTGATTAGGCAGGCTTTGGTGACCTATTCATTTTATTTAAATATGCTTCTAAATTCATTTATAAATTCAAGTAATTAACTGTCTTAGATCACCACATTGTTGGTGCTTGGTTGACTAAGAATATACTTTTTACCCAGGACTGAGCAACGAATGTTACATGCATGATGCCTTGAAGACAGACACGAAGAAGACCTATGGCTTTATTGTTGATGGTTTGATAATAATTAGATTAACAATTATCAGCTTGTAAAGGAGCTAATGTTGTTTAAAAAAATAAGCAAGAAATATGCTTCTTCAAGAATAAAAACATTTTGTGAAATTATTAAATCAAACTTCTTGTTTATTTTGGCACAAAGGTTTAGTAGTTGAAGTTGTTGAAATTAATGACAATTTTTAGATACCACACATCACAGTGATATATCCAATTTCATGTTATAATGAAGTGTGTTATGGAGGGGGGAGAGTCTGTACTACTGCTACTACTGTCACTAGAACAGAAACTCTTACTACCAACACCCTACTACCAAAACACAATTCTGTGACTACTAACACCACCAATACTGTTACCAACAACCTCACTAACAACACCAACACCACTACTACCACAACAACCACTACTACTGCTACCACCACTACTATTATTGTCATCAACATCTCTGCTGCCAATAACACATCTAATACTGCTACCATCACCACTACTACCATGATTGCCACTATTACTGTTTGGCATGACTACCACTAATGATATCACAGCAACTACCACCACCACAACCACACCATCACTACTACTTCTACTATCCTCACCACTACCAATACTACAACAACAACCACCACAACAACTATTGCTACTATTACTAATGCTATTTCTGCATACTGATTTTTTGTTAATGATGATAATGACAAAAAAGCAATAATGCTATACTGTACTATAAAATAATTTCTGCCAATTCAAATAATCAGAAAGTAACACAATACTGTTAATTCAATTGATATGCAATGTAATCTAAATATTTCTTTGTCCTTTTCATGAAAATATAATTATTGCCAGGCACTTTCTTATTAATAGGTTCCATTGCTACAGTAATGGAAATTTATTTTCTACTATGGTAAATTATGACATGAAATTAAAACTATTCAAATTCTTCTACTGGGAAAAACAACAACATAATATATGAGTTTGCAAATAGAAAGTTTATCAATTATTAATTTTCTTCTTTTTCCTAAAAAACTTTAAATTTTAGTGACAAAACTTCTTTCTAATGAGACTGCAGTTTAAGGAGTAATTCAGCTTCTGCTGTACATGTTTATATAATAATTTTTAAACACCCAACATTTGTCAATATCTAGATTCCTCCACTATCAAACTTTGAAAGTAACTTGCATTTGGTGCAAGGAAAAACTGCTAATTTCGGGCTCAAAAGGTCACAAGATAGATTGAATGGTGGATAAATGTTTCCAAATAAAAAATTTACTTGTGTGCCAAGTATGTTAATAAAGCTTTGTGAATGGCTTGCATTTGATATGAGAGACACCCATAGACTTGGTGCTA